GCAGAACCCCTGCATAGTACACCAAAGGATCTGTGCAGGTTCACTTAAGTTCTAGAGAGGCAGCTGGAGTGCAAACAAGTTACCTTGAGGCACCTAAAATATCTAAGCAGCACTATTACATTTCCTTCTTTATTTTAACCTCTCTTGATGGCATCACCTGTATTGACAAGAACAAGGCTCAGTTGTTTGACTTTCGGGAGCAGTTGCCATGTCTCATACCTGGGCACAGCGACATGGCAGAGGACTTGCAGGAGATCTGCAACAACCTGGACTGGAAACCAGAGGGCAAGTGTGATATTGTGAAACCAAAATGGCAGTAGGCACCTTTGCCCAAGCATCCACATTCTGTTCTACATCCCCATTAACTGCACGTGTAGAGTCTGGCAATCCAGCTCTCACTTAGACATCTAATGCTATAAATCTCAATTTACACAAACGGTATCCACCAGATTTTTTATCATCTCACGTAAAATGTGACAGATTTCATTAGCAGAAGCATGATGTTCTGCACCCTCAGTACTTCAGGTGAAGTATGAATTAATTCACCTAAAAATAATTATTTGTGTATCCCTATCAAGGAAAATAGACACTATTTAGTCTCAATGAGTAGTAACTTCTGCCGACCTTAGGGCAGCAACTAAAACAGTTTGTCAGAAAGGTGGCAAAATTGCTTTGAAAATCAGCAGGCACACAATGAAAATCCATATGCATACTTGCAGTTTCATAAAGACACATGCATAAAAATAAAAATTACAGTGTTAGCATAGAAAAGATTACATCTTTTTTAGAGTGACAGCATAGAATAGATGACATCTTTTTCAGAAACAACAACTCATCTGTTTTAAGGTCTGACTTTATGTCAAACTAATTTTCTGACTACAGTATTCTCAAAACAGCAGGACGACTATATAGCAATTGATGCCTCCTGGGTTTTTCTGGTTTAATTTTATCAAAATTAGAGCCTTTCAGAAACCCTAGATGGACAACTCTGAAGTCCTCTCTATAAACAAAGACAATGCAGACAACACTTCTGAGAGCAATAGCACATTTCCTATTCTCTGCAAAACATTATCTCTAGAGAAGAAAGGTTCATTTTTGCACTAATCCCCTTGTTTTCTCCATCCACTTTATAGTATTACTTCCCATACACTATGAAACACATTCTAAAATTATAGTAAAATGAAAGCACAGTACTTCAGTCTTCCAGCTATAATAATGACTTTAAAGAGGGTGTTATTTGGAGATTCAATGCATTGATTATTTAACTTCCTGAGATACAAAGTGTTTGGGTGCTTGAAAATTGAATGCCTGGAACTAACACATCTGAATCACAGACCAAACATTGAAGAAGAATCAGACTGTTAAAAAAATTACAAATTGTGGACACTGTCTGATTGGAAATAGGTTGAGACTAGCAAAAGCACAGTAACTATTTCTTTTTCAATTCATGTCATGTGAGAAAAACACCTAGAAACACAGCAAGAAGAAAATACAATCAACCTGAATCATGAAAAGTAATAAAATCTACAGCTAAATTATTGAAATCTGACAACAGTAATCTTCCATACTCTTTATTTGTAAGATGACTTACACTATATTCTCAGTAATACATCTGTTATTATCATTGATCAGTATTTCGTTCGGAGATTTATATTTCTGTACAATTTACAGCGGTTTTAAATGCAATTAATGGTGGTAGGCACAAAAATAGGTAGGTGTTTAAGTATCCAGTTACACATATCATTTGTGAAATAGGCAAATAAGTATGGGAAAGAATGTGCAGATTAAGCAGGGGAGTAAAGCACACTGACATACAGATATAGACGTATGTGCAGGTAATTAACAGACTGCAGCCCTTCCCTGAGCAATGCACTTCTTATATGCAACTTCACTGATTTCCTCTTGCTACCACATATATGTAACTTGAATTATAAATATTGAATCATGTGATTTTTACATCATACATGTTTACAATTTCAATAATGCTACTCAATACTGCCAAGATGTTGTGAAATCAAATAGAAACTGCTTATTTACAACTTTTCAGTAAAACAAATTGATGGTCTGCAATCCTGATGCTTCCATCTGTCCTCCTGATAGCATTTCAGCATCAAAAATAAAGAAAAATGTTAATTGTTCCATGTAATCCAAGGAAGGTGTACATGGCTATCAGTAAGTCTATTCTAAAAAATATCTACAGGTAGCCTGGACGTACAGGGAAAACAACTCCTAGTGATTTTCAACAGAAAGACTAAAACCACACAAATAAAATTTTTAAATGTTAGGAGGCTTAAAAAATAGCTAGTAAATAAAGATTCCTAGAGGAATATATTATCTATAAACCTACAGTTTGATTATGAATAGAAAAGAGCATGATACAAGCTGTAATTCCTGTTACAAAGAATTGTCATCATGTCACTGAAAGCTACATGACAGGCTGCCTAGAAAGTAGCACAATGAAACTTGCTGTAATAACATTTTATTTATGTCCATAAAACTGAAGAATGGTAAATCTCTGATTATTTTATTTTTAATACAGAGATGAATTTTAACAAGCTAATTTATAAAAGGTTACACCAATGTCTAGATTTAAATCAAAGGAATTAATGTCCACACTACCACAGTTCACATGAAGAAATTCTTGTAACACATTTCAATAGTTGATGAGGCTAAAAAAGACAACGTTCACAATATCTGTTTGGAATTAAATGAAAGAATATCTCAAAGTTTAAAAGTTTAGCTGGAAACCAGCATGAAGTTCAACAGCCATGCCTCAGGTCTTCAAACCAATTGGGCCTTTTTTTTCTCATCCAAATTACGACTTTGAATAAATACTTGAGTTATCTTGAAAAGCTCCCTCTCTCCATCCTTATTCACTGTTCATTGATATGTACTCAAAAACCCTTGGAAACCAGTAAAAAGTTACTTAAAACAAGTAGAAGTGACCAACTCAGGTAGTATGTGAATATAGCTGTGCTTAGTCAAAGATGATTTCTTTTCCAGGCAGGTGAGACAAGCTCAGCTGAAATTCTGGTTGTAGAAAGGTGTTCACCAATCAGAAGCCTTTCCTGCTCATTTTTCCTGAAGTAACTACTACAGCTTTTATAATAAAAGTAGTTTAGCAACTTCTTTCAGAAACACATTATTTGCTTCTGTTGCAAGACCTGTATTGACATTTTTCATACTTTGCATTGCTCTGTGAGAGGGCACAGAAATAAACCACTTCTCTGCAGCTGCTCTGGCAACTAATGGGCAAGAGTGAGCACTGACTCCTGGGGCAGCTAGAAACTTAAGCACTTGGTACACTGACACACAGTTTGGGGACACAATGACCATCTTCTTGAGGAGCTCTCGTATCACTGAGGATGTGATTACCCAGCCTACCATAAGAAGCAGTGTAATTACTTACTTTTCCTTACACCCCTGCTACAGTGGGTTGGACAAGTGGGCTGTTATTTAAACCTAACAGGCTTTCCTGCAGCTGGGAAAAAGAAAAGAAAAAGCACAAAAAGCAGCATACATCCCCTCATTTTCTTTCCAATCTCAGTATGCCTTTCTCTGATATTTATTGCTTCTCTGGCACTTCACATACACAGCGTTATATATTAATTTAATGAGTCATGTAATGCTTCCCTAAGACTGGAACATATCCAGAGGTGGGGAAGGTGGCAGTGGGGAAAGTGAAGTCAGACTTCTCAATTACTCTTCAGAGAGAAGCTTTCATTCAGCTCCCATTTTTTTCTTACTTGAGAAACAATCCTACAGGTACAGAAAAGCCTGTCAAATACATGAGTTCTCTCTGCAGTTGTCTGAATCTGCATGTAGCCTAAGACAAACTCTTGTAAGTAAGAACTATCTTGGCTTTTTTCCCCTCCTGAATGAATAGCAAGCTGGCATTGGTGACACTTTTAACTGCAAACAGGTAACTCTTATCTCTGTCAAAAACATATTTTTAGAAGATGAGAAGTAGAGCAAAAGTCTCTCCCTCAGAATTTCAAGTAGAGGGGGTGAAAGTAGTGACAGGATTAATGAAAATACAGAGATCATGTATCAAGCAAAGACATGCCAGCTTGTAACACTGCAACTGTGCATTGAAGGAGTAGTGCAGTGTTAGAGTTACACGTAGTATAAGACAGCTCAGCCTCCAAACATGTATATATTATTTTTAATGCCATAAATGTACCTACAGCATTGCAGAGTGACTGGTCTTCCTACACAAGAAAGAATACAAGGAAAAAAAAACTGAGACACGGAGAGAAGGAGTAACTTGCTCATGAGCACGAAAAATCCACCTCAGATTTAGGATTAGGTCAAGAATCAGAAATTGTAGCTTCTAACCTCGAGTCATCAAGGAATACAGACGAGAGGACCAAAACGCAGAAAAGCACTAAACACCTCCCTGTCCTTCGGTGAACACGACAGCCGCGCACAGCATCACTTTCCGTGACAAGACTAGACTACTATTCCTCCCAAGTCCATTCACAACCGCGCCGGCTTTGGGTGCTCAACAAGCCTTAAAGCACTCGCACATGTCAGAGTTTACCCACAGGCAAGCTGGGATGTTGAGGTTTTTTTGGCCCCGAACGGCGCAAGAAGCAGGGAGATGCCGACAGCCGCGGCCCTCCACCACCGGCCCCGGCAATCCCTTCCCGCATCCCGCCGGCTGCGAGGCCGCGGCAGGTGCCGGCGGCCCGGCGGAGCCCCAGCGAGCTCCGGCCGCCCGGGGCTACCGGGAGAGAAGAAGGCGGGTTGGTGCAAACCGGCGGCCCGGCACACTCCGGCCGCCGGCAGTGAGAGGGGAAAAAGCGGGGGAAAGGAGGAAAGCGTGTCTCCGGGGAAATAAAGTTTTCAAGCGAAGAGGGCAGCGCTCGGAGCGCCGCGCAGCCCCGCCGCCGCCCGCAGAGGCAGCAGCGACTTCGTGAGAAAGGAGGGACGGGGAACGGGCGGCCGTGACCCGGGCGGCAGCCCCAGCGCCGGCCGGGCTCTCACCCGCTACTCACCATGTTGACTTCGGAAACCATGTCGATGCTGGCGATGTCGATGTTCATCCCCACGCAGACGGGCGGACCTGCGAGCAGACCAGACCTTTAGCCAGCGGCGAGAGGTGCCGCGGCAGAGCGGGCGCGGTGCCGGACCCGCCGTGCGGGAGCGGCGGCAGCAGCGGGGACAGCTGCGGGGGAGGGGGGCATCGCCGGGCGGAGAGCCCGGGCAGGGCGACTCACCTCCGAAATCCGGCCGGAGGCGGATGTCGTAGCCCTTCAACAATTTATCCACAGTTTCTTTCACGAAGGACATGTTGCCGGGATCGTTCACACTGTGGGGAGAAAGAGACCGGGGTGTCGGGCGGGAGAGGCAGAAGCCGGGGCGCGGGGGGCCAGGGGCGACGGCGGGAGCGGGGCGGGAGGGGGAGGGCGGGGGGAGCGCATCAGCCCGTTCCCCTGGAGAAACGCATCCCGCGCCGCCGCCGGGGCACGCTGGCTCCTACCTCTGGGCGCAGCAGACCACGGCCACCAGGACGGGAGCAGAGAAGATCCCGAAGATCCTGCCTCCCCCAAAGCCCCACATCCCTCCGCTCCACGCTCCCTGCGCGCAGCAGCAGCAGCCGCCGCCGCGATCCGGCTGCCCCGGCTGCCGCTGAGGAAGAGGCGGAGGCGACAGTCCCCGTTCTCCCCCCCACCTCGCCCTCCCCCCCAAAATTAAAATTCTCCACCCCCTGCCCCAGCACCACCGCCCGGCCCGCGGGAGCCGCCCGCGCACCCGGCTGCGCTCGCCCCGCGGCCGGACGCCGCCGAGCCCCGGAGGAAGCTGCCCTCCGCCGGAGCCCGGCCCGCCGCCGCCCGCCCCGCCGCCTTCCCGCCAGCCGGGAGGGGAGGGGACGGAGGGAGGGCGCCGCCGTCCCTCCGGGCGGAGAGCCCCCCCGAGGTGGGGCGCCGGGGGAGCGGGGCTGGCGGGGCCGCGGGCGGCAGCGAGGGGCGGCGGCTCCCCGGGAACCGCCTCGGGGCACGCCCGACCTCGGCACGGCCCCGGCCCGCGGGACCAGCCCCGGGGCGGCGATGGTGGCCGGCAGCCCCCGCGGGGTCTCTCCGCAGCCGGCTCCATGCCCCCGGGGCAGGAGCGGGACTGCGGGGCTAGGGCAGCCCGTAGGGTCCCCCCGGAGCCGGGTGAGAGGGGGCTGCCCGACGCCGACCCTCTGTCCCGGGGCCCCTGCTCCTCGGCCTGCCCCTCTCTTTGGGGGAACTGCGCCCACCCGCCCCATGGCACATCCTGGAAGCGATGCCCGGGGTGAGCCGCTGGGGAGGGAGAAGGAGCTGGCCTGGGAGCCCTGCCTTGACCTGCAGGGGCCTGAAGCTGTCTCTGGCACGGCCAGGGACGTGGTGTGCACGTACAGGTGCCGGGCCTGAGGCTCCCTTCAGCCGTGCGTGCGAGGGTGCCAGCTGCACTGACCGAGATGGACATGCTTTGCCGGGCAGAAGCTCTGCTGGGTTCAAAACCTGTGTGTAGCCAGGCTTGTCATATGGGACAGAAATGAAGGGAGATGGCACCGGTACTAGAGATGTAGGGTGAGAGTTGTGTATGAGCTTCTGGATGCTCTCAGCTTTGTATAAAGCATTGGTTGGGTGATGACAGCACAGTTGTTATTATTTTTAATCTTCTTCCATGTTAATTATTCCTTCTAGCAGGACTTATTGGCATGGAAACTGAAGAATGTTGACTTAAGTATATTGGTTTTGGTTGCAGAGGCAGCTCTTCACCGCCGGAGCTCTTCACCATGCTCTATGAACATACAAACATGCCCTTGGCCAGCATCTGGTTCTGGTTACATTCTGGCAATCAGTGGCCACTGGTCCATGACAAAGCATAACATTTTAGTAGCTAAGGGAGAAAATCTTTGTCTTTCTTTTGGACTTCTAACACCTGTTTTTCTTCCATGCACTCTCTTCCCTTAATCAAACTGCTATGAAAAGGATGGACATTGAGTAATGCCATGGTGTTACGTACAGGTGAGAAAACATAGACGGCTTTTTTCTCTCTCCTCAACAAATATTTAAAAGAAAGACAAGTGCAATCCATTGTCCTGACCTTGTTGCTGTTGCAGTTAATAATAAAGATCCAAATAAAGGAAGGAGCAGGTGCAGTTTTAAAAACAGTACTAAGCTCTATAGGAAATGCAGAAAAATGTAAGACTAAGAGAAACTGAGTGTTGCCAAATCTTGTGATTTCATGTTAATATTTGGATTTTTAATAGTGCCATAATTACTATGATTATAAAGTAAGTGAAAAATCTTAGCTTTTATTTAAAAAAACTTATTAGGCTTATGATGAAAGCTTGAGAATTGTGGCATGAAGCATACATTACTCAAGGGCTCAAAAATGAAAAGTCAAATAAGTAACTATGTAAGTAATTTTAAGGCCCTGGGTCCTGATGGGTTTTTTTTTAATGCTATAGATGGGCAGTATCAAAAACCAGCTCTTTCAAAGACTTCAGAAGGAGTGAATTTAGGGAAGGGTACTAATTAAATTCTGTCCCCCCTAAATTCTGAAAGTAAGTATTAACACAAAAAAAAGTATTTCTTATGAAGAGTTTAAAATGGTTTAAAAGCACATTTAAATGGTAATAATTTTTCTTAAATAGATTTTTGGTTTTGAAACAAATTAAAAAAAAAAATTAGAGAGCACTATTTCTGATTAAAGTGTTATCCTGGCACTTTGGAAACACATCTGAGGTAGGAATGAATCAACAGTGCTGTAGAGTCTGTCATCTTTTATCACACTTCATTTAAGTATTTGTCTTCTTGATCTTACAGAGCAACCATTTACTTGGGAACAGCATAAAGATCATCTAGGCTGGAGCTGGTGGAACAAGGAAGTATTTAGTTGATTATGGAGCACTTGTGCCTTGGGACTCTGGGTTCAATTAGCAGTAACCAAAAAATGTTAAAAAACTATAAACAATCAATGAATTTAATGAAAGGTAAAAATCATCTTGACTTCTCTGTGACATGATGGCATTTGCAGTGAAAGTTGAAGTGTGGGTTTTGTCTGCAGGAAAGGCTCACATAACTAAGCTTCTGTGGCAAAGACCTTCACCAGGAACAGTATTCAAGGAAATAGTGGAAGCCAAGACTTTTGGGAAGCTATTTAATGTGGGCAATAAGGAAAATTTGGCACAGAAATAGACTCCTTGTCCTACCCCAGAATTCTACATCCTGACTTTGCTTCTGGAATTAGGCTCACAAACATCTCCTTTCTAAAGGCAAGCAGGTTATTATTTCAAGGCATGGCTGGAAGGAGTCTGGGCACTTTTATTCACTAAAGCAAAACAAAGCAGCCAGTCACAACCTGTAGATTGTCCAGCCAAGAAAATCCCAAGGATTTTCTCGTGAGATGAGCCCAAACTCCAGGATCCAGGATCTCAGGGTAAACTTCTTTTTTTTGAAATGCTCCACTTTTCAGGAAATAGTTAAGTAGGGAAGACGGAAGGAGTTAAAATAACTCTGTGGCCTACTGGTTTGGCTGTTGCCTGGGAAGTACTGTTATTTCATAAATAATCCAGCAATTCATGAATTAATTACTGGATAAAATAAATCAATGTTCAGTGGTATAAGTAACAGAACCCAATTCTCTCCTCCTTTTATGTGCCTTCATCATTGTTCATTCTCACTCCTTACTCTTTTTCCAGTATACAGTCTTTCTGTCCCAGTAAAATTATCCCTGTAAAAATATGAGACTGTAAACATTGTAGTTCAAGGACTAAAATTCTACACATTTTCTACAACTTTTGTGAATGTTCCAGCCTTTGGGCCACTGGACAGTTAAGATCTATGCTTCTGATCAAATTTTGTTCAATGAGATAAGCACAGCATGTGTTTTTTCCTTCCTCAGCATTGCCAATATTGTAAAAGCCACTTCAACAGTGGGTAAGTCTAAACTGCAAAGGCGAGTGTTATGTGTGAAGGAGCAAAAGGACTGTCCTTGCTCCAAAGCAAATAAGTGTGGAAGAATACAACTGCCAAGCCTACACCTGAAAGAAATCATATGGGGAAGTTGGATTATAATGGATTCGTCAACTAAGTCTGGGTTAGCAGGTAGAGGGGCTGGTCTCCAGAGCATAACTCTTGTTGCTGAGGATCTGATATCCGTGCACACTCTTTTGTTGTTTTGGGTTTGATTTTTTTTTTTTTTTTCAACCCCATTAGGAAAAGTGGGGAAATCTGGTCCACTAAACTAAATGCTCATTAGCAGTTAGAGCAATACACTGCTGGGGTGCATTTTTCAGCTTAGTTTGAAATGAGTCGTGCTCATGTGGTCTGAGACTGCTCTGAGATGTGAAACACAGCACAGTAAGTGGAAATGATCAAGTGATTCACTTTGCAAGCACAGTCCTGGTCTGCAATAAAATGCTATGTAGATGCATCCATCATCTCATTTCAGAAGGAGCTGGAACAGAGCACACTCAGCCCTTGTCAAAGGACAGAAGTGGTTGAAAGCAGCGGGATTGGAATGAGAAGCGACTCAAAATTTTGGAACAAATTCCAGTTTCCTTCATCATTGTCAGTACTAATGGAGATACAGCAGAGGAGGCAATGACAGGAAGGCTAGAGAAGAGGAGAGGTCTGCTCACAACTGATGCATTTGCAGTACTACCACTATCAGTCACCAGATGTAGGAGAAAGCCTGGCTTGGGAATCAGGGACGAAGTGTTTGATCACACCATGCAATACATCACTGAACTCCTGTGCTGGAAAGTGGTTCTGGGGGTTTACCTGACAAAATGAGCTTAACTCCACTTACAGACTGAGGTCAGAATCACTTATCAAATGTTTTCTTTTTCATTTTCCTTTCTGGCTTGTCTGTCATTTAACTGATTTTGACAAAGATCCAGCCTTATCCTGAAGCAAACTGCAATCGCAAAGGGTTCAGAGATACAAAAGAGAGAGAGAGACTGAAACTAAAAGAAAGTGGGAAGAATTACTGTTATGGCTGAAATGTTGTCTTCTGAGGAACACAGGACATTAATCTTACTAGGCTGAGACCCATGCTGCTGCTTACCTACTCTGCCTTGCAGCAATTTTAATAGCCTGCTGGTTTAACCTGCTGAGAAGGTGTAATTAATAAAACTGGCTGGGAAAAAAAAATACACAAGAAAATGTTAAACTCTTTTTTGGTTTTTGTTTTGGTTTTTTTTTTTGTTTTTTTGGTTTTTTGTTAAATCAGACATCTTTTTCACTTTATGGAATCAAAAGTTGAGGATCATGAGGATCAAAATACCATAAAATAGAAAATTAATATTTCCTTCAGAAAGCTCAACTTTCTTATTTTCTGCCCTACAGTATCTCAGCAGAAGCAGAGCTTTAGTGACAGATAATGAGCAGTGGTTGTTGGACATACTATGTGAGGAGAACAAGATTATGTTTATTTACTCTATATATTTATCAGGAATTGTGTGTAATATTTGCTGATGTAAACTCAACAGTTTATTCAACTGACAGTGAGTTTATATTCATTGTCCCCATTTCTGTCAGACAGATTGAAAGCAGCATTGCATGAATCCATTTGCTTTGGTTGCATAATTTGCTGGTTTACATTTAATTATACAGAAATATTAATGGTGTTATGTCAACAGTTCTGATGTA